AAATTCTCTAACTTTGAAGGCCACATACTCAGTTCCAAAACACAAAAGAGAGAGCTTCTAAGTGTATTACAGGGATCTGATCACATTCAAAACATAGCTTATCAGAACACTGAATTTGCAGGGCATAGTGGCAGTACTCAGGAAGCTGACGCAGGAGGATCGCTGATTTCGAGGCCAACCTTGGTTACGTAGTGAGTTTCAGGCCAGCCTGAGCTACATAGTGAGACTCTGTCTCAAAACAATGACAACGAAAAGAACACTGAGTTTAATACATTCTACCATCCATTCTTTGCAACTTAGGAGTGTCATCCTTCTAGTAACTGGTGAAAGAGATACATGCAAATGTAGCTTTTACTTACATGTGATTCCTTGTTTGCACCATGGATTTGTCAGATTTCTAGAACAGAAAACCCCTGGAAAGATGGCAAACCATCCCCTGAGAGTAGACAGAAGGAGGAAAACCCCAGAGAGATTGTGGTTCACATGCCAGACCAGCAGTAGCAACATGCTAGCCTCATCTTCCCTAGATGGCATTGCATCTTCACCAACACACTGGACAAGGCATTCTGTGTCCTTACATTGGGAAGGAGGAAAGACTTACATATTTCTTTGCCTCAAAGCAGTCTTCTAGAGAAAGCAGTCTTCTGTGTTTTCTCCACATTGGTATTTTATCAGAATCAAGAGTTTAATGGAAAAAAATAAAAGGAAATGAATCCTGTTATCCCAGTTGCTCAGCAGAAATGTATTCCGGTCCTTCTTTCTCTTCTAATAACACTTAACTGGGTCTTAAAATGTGAGTTTTTCTATGAAGAAGTTTTATATTTTCAGAATGCTTTTTCAAATACAGGACCTTTTCTGGCTCCAGTGTTCTTCCTACATGAAAATTATTCTGTCAATTTTGTCATATTGATATAGGGGGAATAGATGTAACTCCCAAACCTGCTAGATATCTGAAATGCAAGTTCCTATTCTCTAAAATCAAAGAATGAATTCTAGGAACAATGGAGGGCAAGAGTAGGGAAATTTGTTAAGAGGAATATAGTTTCTAAGAGAGATAGAAGGGGACCAGAAAGAGGGTTGCCCATCCACTCTGCTTCTCAAAGGTGTTTTATGGGACAAAGCCATGAGGTGAGGCAGAGTCAAGGTGGGACAAAATTATAGACAACTAGTAACATTGTAAGTACGGTCACTTAGGTAATATTGGTTCAATGAGAAACCACAAGGTGGACAAAAGCATGATCAACCAATAAAATTACAAGTATAGTCACCTAGGTATATTGATTAAATGGGGATCCAATGGGAAAGCAAGTCACTTAGCAAGCATACAAGGACCGGAACAAGGATTTCCTGTAAGGGGTGAGTTAAGATCTTGGTCCCCTACCCAGGTGATTGATACCTATTGCTATTCATCCCTAGGGAAGCAACAGGGTATAGTAGTTTGTGTCTTGATTGTCCTCCATTTTGGCTCCTCGAGGGCTGGCCCTGTCTACCTGCCTTAAAATAATTTCTAAGTAATTTAACTACCTGGAATAATATGTCCATCATTGTAAGGGAGTCTGTTGTTGTTACTGTTTAATTTTTATAAAGAATTTATACTGATCTAGATACATCCCTTCTCTATTCATATGGCATGACATTTCAACAGCAGTTTTCTTTCTGTAGCCATAGAACAGAAACTGACAGCCAACAGAGAGATCAAATTAACCACGGTGTTAGGAAATACTAAGATAAAAATCCAAAGCTGGCTCTGTTAGGCTACAAAGAACATTTCAAAAATACTTCTGCTAATTTTTAAAAGCATTATCTTTGTTTCTATAGGACAAAAGTAGTTAATCTTTCCAGATATAGTGGCACATACCTGTTATCCCAGAAAAACTGAAGCAGGAGGATCTTTTCAAGACCAGCGTGGACAACCTAGTTAGACCCTTTTTCAAAAATTAAATTAATCAAAGAACGAGTCAATTCATGCAATTTTAAGATTCAAATGCATATACAAATGGATTTTGAGATACACTGCCATGGTAGCAGAAGTGATCTTTTAATTTTACTTGACACTGCAATGTATCCATTAAAATTGTTTACTTGGTTTTGAAGAGCAGAAGTTCATTGCAAACTACTGAAAGGATGAGAAATGGAAGGATCGCAACTAAACACAAGTAATATTTGCATTCAGAAATCAATGTTTTATAGATATTTGGGGATGTTGAGCGAAATACAGAAGGGAGTCCATCGATTCCAAGTCTGACATTCAAAGACTCTCTGAAGAATACTAAGCAGAACCAAGTGTGTTATTTTAGACATACTTTCTAACTACCGCTGTTTATTTGTAGCAACTCAAAATCTGCTTTGGCTTACATATCTTTCCAAAACTTTGTTCTATATCTATTTGCACTATGTTGATTATATAGATAAAATAAGAGCTGAGAAACCTTCCTTAAGAAAATATTGTTTTGTTAGAAACTTTGTCCTGCTAGCTCCTGAGCTCCTTGGAAATTAAAATCTCTGTGTCTTCTAAATGACAGCCACCTTGTCGGTGGAACCAAAATAGCTCTCTCAGCTAGAGAGCTGTCTGTCAGTGAGAGTTCTGACAGATACTGGATTTGGCACGCAGGAAGAAGGCAAGAATTGGTCCCATGGAAGTAGGTTCAGTGAGAGAACCTCCCTGTGAGTAAGACAGGAAGAACACTGGGAAACAGTTCCCTCCTATATACCAGATCAACCACAAAGAAGCTAACAGACACTTCTAGAAATGACAGGTAGTCCTGAGAGGGAGCAAGCGAGAGAGAGAAAAGCCAGGAAGATAGGTAACAAGTGCCTATTTCCATCATTAACCCTTGTGGGATTTTGAAAGGGCCACGGCTAGATTTAAGATGCACCAATGTGGAAAGTTTATATTTATAAAAGAAATCAAATACATTTACATGCACTGGATTTTCTCTCCCTCTAGTGGTGGGGTGGGAGCCTTTGCATGATCTCCTGTCACTGCATGATGCTGCTTCATAAATGAAGATATGTTTCCATTACAGTGCATTTTCCCCAAAAAGAGGATTTTCTTTAGGCGTACTTCTGTCTGTTATGGTTGTTTCCAAAGAACTCCCACACTCCAGGGAGTGCACTGCCTCCCAAGCACTCTGATTAGTGACAAGGGAGCAAGGGTCTGCTCTCTTTTTGGTTAAACATATAGGATTCCTTTCTCCTCTGCAGTTCTATCAAATGTGAAACTATATGGTACTCATAGGCAGCTTTCTGGACCCCTAATCAGGGCCAGAAAAACCTGAGAAGCTCAATGAGAAGAAAGCAAAATTACCTAGGGTAAAAGAGAAAAATATGAAAATTCAGAGGACAGACACTATGATAAAGGATCTAAAGAGACTCTAAGATAAAGGATCTGTACCTGATATAAAGGGCAGTAGAGTTAAAGCTTAGAATACATCTCTACCTTTACCTTCAAGACAGTCATTTTTTCTATTTTCATCTTTAAATATGTGAAAAATACTTCTAGTGTAGCAACATGATCAATGATAGTGGATGGAAAAGTTAAAAAAAATAGCAAAAGTAAATGGTAACCATTTTAACTACTTTGTAAATGCAATTTCCTTCTTCATTACAGAAGAATTACTTGCATAATACCATAACTGCACAGGGGTATTAGTAGAAACAGATCATAAATTGCAGATGTCTAATCAATAGGTTAGATCCTTATGGAAAATTGTATCTGTGTGAAGTATGCAGAGTAGGCAGCTTTTTTTCGTGCCCTATACTCAGGCATTGATGATGTCTACTTGACTTCTCCTCTTGGAAGTCTCCAAGGCAACCAAACTCTTATGTTTTCACTGAAAACCTGTTCCTTTTCTGGCCTCCTTATTTCAGCGAATAACTACATTAGCCACCCAGTTACACTGGCCAGAAAGCCTTATTCTTTCACCACTATATCCAATCCATTACTAAGTCCTTCAGTCTTACCTCCCAAATCTGTTTCAAATAAGTCAGTTTCTCTACCTTCACCACCATTTTCATCCATTTCTCTCCTAAAGCATCTACTACTCCAAATAGCATTCGCTCTTTCCTTTGTTAAGTGCACTGCACTACGTCATTTAACAAGTACATGTGAGGGGCCTACTTTGCACTCTGGAAATACTGTGGTGAAAAACAAGGAGCTGTGGAGGCAGAAGATAAATATCAAATAGTCATAAACATTATGTGGAGAATTAAAATAAAATCATAAAATTGTATTTTAGATATGTTCTAATAGAAGGAATCGTGGGTGTTTCCACGAGAGTTATGAGGTTTGAAGCAGAAGAATAAAAGTCTGCTGGGATGATGGTATCTGTTACTAAGGCTTCCTAGAGCATAGATTGTATGCTGGCATAGAACAAGAAAAATAAGCACAAAACGCACATGATGGTTCAGTCTAGGTCTGTTTGTCTCAAAGTACCTCTGCTTAAATATAGCACTTACTATGTACACGGAAGTTAATTTTTCTATGTGCTCCTCTCTCCAGAATGTAAACTCCAAAAACACAAGAGCCATAAATGTTTTTGCTCTCTGCTGTACCACCAGTGCCTAAGAACTGCACCTGGCTGACAGTAGGCACACAAATAAGAACTGGTTGCATTAATGCACAAGTTCATGTGAGAAGCGGAACAGCCAACAGACAAACTAAATGGATTGGGGGATCAAAAAGTCTTCATAGTGATGTCAAAGTCAGTTGCTTCAGCTCGCAAATGTAACTGGGCTATAAACTCCCCTTCAAGGATTTGGGTCTCCAGCACCTAGCTCCTATCCTCACCCTCACACCACAAACCTCACCAACTCCCTGCTAGGAGGAGTCACACCTCCCAACCCAAAAAAAAACCCCTCCCACCTCCTCTATTTCTCTCCCCACCCCACGACCCTCCCGACCAAAGTTCCGGCAACCTCCGTGTAGCAATGATCGCAGGGAGTGGTAGTCTTCCGGTGCAAGCCTATAGAGGGTTAGACCATTTGCAAAACTACGCCTCCCAGCGGTCCTCGCGGCAGAGAACGGCTGAGTCACCTGATCAGAATGCGGGAGTTGAAATGGCGGTCCCCATGCTGCGTTGGGTCGGCCCTGGAAGACGTTGTGCTTTAGCATGGGTGGACAGAAGTTCCCGCCACCGAAGAGAGGCCCCGACTGGGTCAACGTCCAACGGGACGAGGGAACAGAGTTCAGTGGCTCAGCAACCCCTCCGCACGGCCCAGAAACTGAGGAAAGGGTATAAACTTTTCATACCGTTACTGCACACCTAAATGTGAAGTGGAACTGCGGGACTAAGGAGATGACAGCCTCTATACCCCAGCCTTTAGACGTTTTGGTGGGAGGGCTTTTGCCTGTAATATAAGAGACCTGACACCTAGATGAAAATAAAACATGCCTTCTCTCAGCTCCTTGCCCATAAATAAACCACTCTCTTAAGTAGGCATATTTGGGGAACTCGCGCGTGTAAAATAGCAAGTGTTTTGAATCGAAGTCTGTACTGGCAGCGGGGTCAGTGACACAGCACTACTAAGGCTAGAAAGAGATCCTTTGTTTACAGGCTGTGTGTGGTGCTGGTATAATGTCATTCGTTAGAAATCATTAGTTAGAAAACGCCAGCTATTTGTGAAGGCGTTTTATGTTGACATATGGGACCAAGGGTGATGTAGTTAACTGAAGAGACATTGCCCCTGGTTATGTAAAGAGTTTTGCTTATTTTGCTACGTGTTTTCTGATCAGCTGTTTATTATTCACTGTATAAGATTTAAATAGTTTTTTTTTAAAAAAATACAGAAGTATAAGCCACGTTTCTCATACATTGTTTTACTTGGAGCTTAACCTTATCTTTATTTTCTAATTAGAACACAGAGAAAATGTTCAATGCATTCAATTTCTTTTCTTTTCATAAATTAGAGAATCTTCCTGTAAATGGAAAGTAAACTTTTCTCTGATGTAATGAAACTGCAAATATATTTTGAATAATAAATTTTTGGTTTGATTTCTTTTACAGGCTGTCTCCAAACGTTAAAAAGGAATTAATCTTTTTGCAACACACAGGTTATAGAACATGTATTGAAGTTGGTTTTTTAAAACCCCAAATGTGAACAAAATGTACATAATACACAAAATCGCTTAGGAGAAGAGCAGCGTAGGAACATACATAGATTTCACAAGGAGTAAACACAGTTACCTGGAGAGTCTTGTGTGTCAATTCAGCAAAGTAGAAAAGGCTAGATAATATAGTATTTAAAACTTTGTTAGATTTGATAGAAAGTAAACAAGGGAACGTGAAAATTTGAAATCTGATCCCAGAAATTGGAAATGTTTGAGGAACCAAAAACAAAAAGCTACATCTGATGATTTAATGTTTTTCTTTGCAAAAAATTTCAGGCATATCATTTAATATCTTTCTTATTCTGCTATTTGTTATAAAGCTGTTGTTATAAAATGAATTCAAAGCAAAGTTGAGAATTTTTTTTAACCATTAATTCTGTTGTTGTATCCTGCCAGTTAACTTGAATTTTAAATGTCTGAAAGATCAGCTTTCTTCACTTAAGTGATTAAGTGATAAGTTACAGTTAATTAGCATTTACTGCTTTTTCACTGAAGTCAGCCAAACAGTTGCACCTAATACCCATTTCTAAATTGTGTTAAAATATCAGGTGATTTTATTCTCTATTACCAGTGAGCCTCCTAATGCCACATTGTGAACTATTTTTTTCTTGCTAATCTCATTGTAGATGTTTATTAGGAATCACTTTTGACTTAGTCACCAATAAAATGACATTTTAAAATTAGAGAATATAAAATTTTAAGAAGTTAAAAACAAATAGGAAATGAACATTTGTGGTTTAGGCTTATACAACTTCATATATGGTACCAGATGTAACTTCTTCTTAACAATTTTCTCATTCTTTTTAGTGAACACAAGTGGGCAGCTGTGGTAGGATTGGAAATTCATGCCCAAATCTCCTCCAACTCCAAACTTTTCTCTGGATCTGAAGTGTGCTTTGCAGCTCCTCCAAATTCTTTGGTTTCCTTTTTTGATGCATCTCTGCCTGGAACTTTGCCGGTAAGGTTTTAGGTTTTGCTTTGCTTTTTTTTTACTGGGGGTAGGGGTGGGGGGTACCGGGGATCAACTCCTGACCTTGCGCTTGCGAGGCAGACAGCAGCACCACTGAGCTAAATCCCCGGCCCTGCCGGTAAACTTATCTGACCTTATTTTCATTAGTAAGTATTTGTTATACTAGAAATAGATAATTACTTCCTTGTTTTAATATCTTGACACACTTTTAGGAAATACTTGTTTAGGGAATTTTCGATAAAGTGAGATGGACCTAATGTTGCTAAAGACATCTCTAATTCTGTTTCTAATTCTGAATGTATTCATACATTTGTTACTCCACACACATTTTAGAATATCTATTAAATATCAGGTACTATGCTGTGAAGTCATTTATAAAGATGAGCAAAGATCCCTTCCTTTTAGGGGTTCAAATACTAGTAGTGGTGATGTGCCTTATAAACAGAGTACGATGTGACTACAGTGGACGCTTAAGTTGCAATCTCAATCCATTCCTGAGCTGGTTGTCACTGTTAAGTTGGTTGTAAGTCAGTGCAGCTGAGATCTGGATATTTCTCTAGGCACACACTATAGATAACAAGAGGCAATTGAATCTTTCATTAACCTAATTAACCCAAGTTGTTTGTATGTCAGGCCAGTCATAACTTGAGGGTCCACTGTACTTCTATGAAGGTAATAGGGAAAGGATGGTTTTGGAACCCAGAGGAGGAATGCATAATTTGGCAAAAGCAAGGACTAATATGAGATGTTGTAAAGGGTATGTTTGGTTAAGGAAGGGTGGCTGGAAGAGGCGGTAACTGAGCTATTTGAGAATCCAAGTTGGTGTTCAGTGGATAAATGGAGCAAGAAGAATGTGTAGTAAAAGGAAGCAGTGTATGTCACAGGATAATGACAATGAAAGATCAGTAATGATTGCGGTTATTGAAAATTAAGCAGCACCTGTCATGTGAAGGTACAGGATTCCAGTAATGAATGTAACTGTATTGTAGACCTTGATTGTACCAATAAACTCAATTAAAAAAGAAAATTAAGCAGCAGTCAATAATGAAGAGTCAACCATAATATGCAGTGATTTCACTGTTCATTTTCATATGATCTCAAGGAATGACTGAGCCAGATGTATCATCAGGAAGATTTTTAGTATGTGTTTTCATATAATGGGCTGACTTTTGAAGAAAATGATGGAGCAGTGTAAATGTTTGCTCTAATAAGTAGGACCTATAGTACTGACTGGGTATAGGGTATCCTGCCACATTTGACAAGAACAGGTATACATGGTGGTAACAGGATGTAGGGAGGGTCATGGGTGAATTCCAGTCTCTCAGACATTTGATATAAATGAAAGCTGGTAGAGTTGAGTGCTGGCAGTCCTGCAGGGACTCTGTCTGCTTTTCTCAAAATCACTGCTCAGACAAGCAGGTTCTTGGCCTTGCCTTCCCCGTGCCTGATTTAGTGCGGCCTTTGTGTCAGGGCGCCATCTCTGTCTTGAACTTTTCCCCCATTTATGCTTTTTGTTATGGAGGACTCCGATCTCTGCAACCATATCCGAGGCTGCCTTTGATTTGCTGTTGGTTCTCTCTAGAGGAATGTGGGTGTAGAGGTCTGTCCCCACCCCACAGCTTAGAGCAGCTATCTATGGAGAGAGTTTTTGTTTGGGGAGAGACGGTTTTTCAGTTATAAACATATGAGGGTGTTTTTTGGTTTTATTTTGTTATTTTTGTGTTTGTTTTTTTAATGGAAGCTCAGATATAGTAGAAATGAAATAATATATATTCAAACAAGTGAAGTGGAAGGGAATTTATGTAACAACTCTTTTTCCTTCTCAGCTGAAAACATTTTTCCCCCTTGTGGTAATTCATTGACAAGAGACTAGCTTTGAGTTCTTTCTAGGTTTTCCAGCTGGAAATGTGATATCTAACAGGGTACTTGTTATATATTTCACATTTAGAAACAGATCCACTTGCAGATAGGGTCATTTTTATTGTAAACAGACTCTTCAGTTATGACTAAAAATAGTCAAGTATTAGAGACAGTTCAAAGTAACAGGACAACAGGCTTCTTGTCATGCACCAGAAAGGTGTTTGTCCAGTGATAAGCATGTCAGCAAAACAGTGGGAACATTTGAGCCTTAAGAGCTTGGCTTAACATTAAATGGTACACAAAGGTTAAAAATACAGTCTTGCACGAGCTAGGATATTTTTTTCTTCAGAATTTTTATTTCTTCAGATATTTTTTTTCAACAGTCAGTTTGTGTAGTCTATTTGGTTATTCTCTTGAGCTAATCTACCTCTTTTCAGAAGTGTTCCTCTTAAAAGCATCTATTTTAGTACTTGAATAAAATTATATCAAGTCCCAGAATAAAACATCACTGAAAACATTTCAAAGCTGTGATTTGCCTATAAACAAATTTAAAATGTTCTAGGACATTTAGACAGGTGTCCTTCTGTACATGCTGTAGAGATGGTATAATGATGTGCTAATATCCAGACCCTGGATCTGGTGACTACTGATAAAATTGGGTAACCCAGATTTTGAGAGTATGTTCTGAAGGCTGGAGTAGAATATTATGTTATTGTGTTGATCATTTAAGCCAAGAAATAATTCCTGATGATACTTGGTGCTCTATCTTCCCAAGACTGTTCCATTCTCTCCTTTTTCTTCTCCTTAACCCACTGACTGCTTCTTCACATGTGGCCAGTTTCCTTTACCCAGCCCTGACACGCTAGCTTCCCATACTTCATTCTTTGGCTCTCAATTCTGTGAGAGCTGAGTTCCCCTGCATAATCTTTCACCCTCGAATGGAGCTTTCTAAAGCTGCTAGGTAGCAAGTCTGTGTGCCTAATGTCCTACTATATATTTCCATCCCAATGACTTATTAGTATGTTAGGTTCAGCACTTACAATATTGAATCTATTATCGTTTCTCTCCAAAGAATACACCAGGAAGTGGAAAAGAAGAATCTTCTCATAAATGGAAGTTAGAGAGGAAATGTGTATATCCTATACATACACATGAATATTAAAGATAAAAAAATTACTAGGAAAAGGAAGATCTGTTTAACTGACAGTTTGGAAAGCTTGGTTAGCTATTCAGAGGAATATATCATTCTAGCTCATTTCATACCTCAAAACAATACTCAAATATTTATTTACAAATTAAAAGTAAAATTAAACTAGAATGAAATACAGACTATTCATTTGCCCTTGGGATGGGAAGAAATTTTCTAAGCATAAAAGCAAGAGGAAAAACTCATAAGACAAAATGATAGAGATTTATCTACTTTATTCATCCAACAAATTTATTGACCCACTAATTCTTTTTTGGAATATATCACAGGAAAATAATGAAATGTGTATATGAAGACTATGTAGAAATGCTGATAGGATTATTTGTAATAGTGTAAAGTTGGGGGACTTCTTGGTGTTGGGGGAATAGTCAAGTTATGTTATATCTATGTAGGGGAACATTATGAAACAACTAATAATGTCTGTGAAGGATTTTTGATGACATAAGGAAATGCTAAAGGTAAATATTTTATTGAGATGAATTTACCTGTACATAGACTACTTAATATTCTTTTGCCTCAGTTTCTTGTATGGCCTATTGGATTTTTGTGAGAATTAAATGAATCAGTGCTTTTTAAGCAAGTTAGTGTCTCGTGTAGGTCATCTTCGCAAAGACCGCCCTGGATCATTGAGCACAATTATGTTGCCAGTGACAGCAGAAGTAAATATGTACATAACAGTTGTCCACTTAATCTGGATTACATTAGTTAAGGAATCCAACACACAGACTAACCTGTTGGTCCTGTCACCCCAGGATGTCTAGAGAATTAAGGGAGCAGTAAGAGAATAATAGTTATACAATGGGTAAAAGTACTTCTCAGGTAGCGGTAATGCATTTGCAAGTAGTAGGTTGGTAAGATTCTTTTCTCCAGTCCATATAGAGGATTGGGGTTTTGTTTTGGTACAGAAAGTAGTTTCTAGCTGATTTTCAGATACTCTAATAAGAGAATAGAAAAATGCAGCCAAAAGAATTTAGATTTTAATGCACAGTTTTTTATAGATCAGATTTGGGTCACATGTAATTTATTTTTTCCCCAGCTGGCCCATTAAAGAGATGCTCATAATTATGGAAACCCAAAGTGGCTAAAAGAGTAATAGTGCCTTAAAATGTCTCAAGAGGGCTGGAGATTTAGCCCATTGGTTCTGCCACCTGCTTCATAAGTGCAAGGTCCCGAGTCCAATCCTCGGTACAAAAATAAATAAATAAAATGTCTCAAGATTACCAAATATTTATTGAGTACCTTCAAGCGCATAGTGTGCTCTTGACTTAGTAGGAAAAAAAAAGATTGTTGCTTAAAGACATTAAGAAAATACATGTCTTTCTGTACCCATTTGTTACGGTTTATATCTAGATGTCCCTGTAAAGCCTCGTGCAGCCATAGGTGGTCTTTTTTGGGAGGAGCCTGGATCTAGGGTTGTGTGATGCTGGGATCAAGGATGAGACACTAGGGTGTGAGTGGGTGCGTAGCCTAGACAAGATATAAGGGACAGAGAGTGCTTGTTGCCATGCTGCCTTCTGCCTGCCATGAACTGTTTCTCCTCTACAATACCCCTCTCCGTGACACCCTGCCAGCCATGAACTGAAACCTCTTCAAAGTATGAGGTACAATAAACCTTTTCTCCTTTCATTTTGGGTGTCCAGTATTTTGTCTCAGCGATGAGAAAAGTAAGACACGATTTATTCTGCTTCTTTGTCAGTTGTGTCTCCATTCATGCACTTAGCTGACTTTGACTGGATGCTTACCGTGTACTGATCATTGCACTAGCTCTCTTGACACAGCTTAGGACAGTAGGTAGCGTAGACACGAGTCTTCCCTGTGGAACACGGACAAGGAAGCAGGCACTTGGAGCACCTGTTAGTCAGCATGTTGGTAGTGAAAAGATAGATAATATGCTTGAGGATCGCACAGGAGAGCATTCACA